AAATCCTGGTTCCTGTGCTTGTTTGGCTTCTGACGCTGCCACCCCTCACTGCCCAGGGCCCTCAGCTCCCTGTGCATCCCTGCCGTGGGAATTATTGCAGGAGCAGCCTGGGAAGGGGCACACACTGCTCCCTTCCCCTCTTGGACCTCTTTGGGACCAGCTGCCTTTTCATTCCTGTTTTATGGGGTTGTTCAAAGCTGCCAGCTGCATACAGGTGAGCAGGATCTGTTCACAGCTGGGTTCAGGTGAGCAGGGTCTGTTCAAACTGGACACAGCTGGGCAGGGTTTGTTCACAGCTGGGTTCAGGTGAGCAGAATCTGTTCAAACTGGGTACAGGTGAGCAGGATCTGTTCAAACTGGGTACAGGTGAGCAGGATCTGTTCAAACTGGGTACAGGTGAGCAGAGTTTGTTCACAGCTGGACACAGGTGAGCAGGGTTTGTTCACAGCTGGGTACAGGTGAGCAGGATCTGTTCAAACTGGGTACAGGTGAGCAGGGTTTGTTCACAGCTGGGTACAGGTGAGCAGGATCTGTTCAAACTGGGTACAGGTGAGCAGGATCTGTTCAAACTGGGTACAGGTGAGCAGAGTTTGTTCACAGCTGGACACAGGTGAGCAGGGTTTGTTCAAAGCTGGATACAGGTGAGCAGGGTTTGTTCACAGCTGGGTACAGGTGAGCAGGGTTTGTTCAAACTGGGTACAGGTGAGCAGGGTTTGTTCACAGCTGGGTACAGGTGAGCAGGGTTTCTCTGCTGCATCTGCAGGGAACAACCATCACCCTGCAGTCTTTCAGCCCTGGCAGCTGCTTCCTCTTTTTCCAGATGATTCCAGCAGCTCTTTCTGTGTTCAGCCCATTGTCAGACAGCATCACAAAGGCTTGGGGTGTTGATTCTGTCACTGTGCAGGGAGTGGAGCTGCTGAGTGGGCTGTGCTGGGATTGAGGAGCTGCAGGAGCTCCCAGGGTTTGTGCCTTTCCCTGGAATCACTGGTGGGATGTCAGAGCTCCCTCCTGGCTCTGCAGCACCAGCAGAGAGGGGAATGAGCCAGAGCAAAGGACAGGGGTGGTGGAGAGGCACAGCCCTGCCTGCATGGCTCTGCTCTGTGGAATCTTTGTGTGTCTCTTAAACAAACAAACAAAACAACATAAAACAAACACAAGAGCATCTGCTTGTGTATAAATATACCTGAGGTTTTGTCTGATTTTGTAGTTCCCATTACAGCGTGTGCCAGTTTTCCTGGTGTGCTCAGAGCTGTGGGTTCAGCACTGGGGCTGAGAGCAGAGATAACAAATGGATTTACCCCAACAGCTCCCAAGGTCCTGGCTGCTGAGCAGAGCAGATCCAGGGTCCTGCAGGCTGTGGCTGCTCCAGCAGCATCAGTGGAAGCCCAGGAGCCTCTGTGCAGGCTGAGTGTCCCAGCAGAGCTGCAGTTCTGTGCTCTGCCAGCACATTTAGAGAATTCCCCATTCCCCAGGGCTCTGTCTGCCCCACAGGCACTCCCTGGGGCTCTCCTGTCACTGGCTGACAGGGCAAAGAGGGATGAGCCATTTCCCTCAAAGAACATCTGGTTTTTAAAAGAATGATTTGATTTCACTGCTCTGCTTTGGGACCAGCACAGCTGAGGGGCTGCAAGGTGGCTGCAAATGGGGTGGCAGGAGCTCCTTAAACCAGAGCAGCTGCCAAAGCATCTCAGCATGGAGCTTGTGCTGTGAGAGCAGAGATCTGCCCCAGACTGCCCCAAACTGCCCCAAACTGCACCAAACTGCCCAAGACTGCCCCAAACTGCCCCAAACTGCTCCAAACTGCTCCAAACTGCCCCAGACTGCTGAGTCCAGGCTCTGCTTCCCACCTGGGCACTGCAGGCAGCATCCCTTGGGCCCTGCAGCTTTGGGATGCACCCAGGGGTGCAGAGGGTTCCTGACTCAGGAGGATGGAGCTGTTTTGAGCTGTTTTGAGCTGTTGTGCATCTCCAATCCCAGCAGCTCAGGTGGTTTTTAGAGGGCCCAGGCAGGATGGGGAGCTTGGGTTGTGTTGCTGCCACATCCAGATGTGTTCCCAGCCAGACCCTGAGCGTGAACAGAGCAGGGAAAAATCTGTGGAGCTTCCAGTAGGAAACAACCACAGAGAATCCTTTCCATCTCTCTCAGCTGGAAAGTGATGCCAGGAGCTGTTTCAGAGTCTGGGTTTCAGTGGGAGGGGGGTTGAGCTGCACCTCTGAATGTGCACAGGGAAAATGCAGAGCACAGAAAGTAGGTCTGGCTGCTGGCTGTCACCTCGGTGCACATCAAGGGTGCTGTGGAAATCTTTGTGTGGCTCTTAAACAAACAAACAAAGCAACAAAAACAAACACAAGAGCATCTGCTTGTGTATAAATACACCTGGGGGTTTTTTGTTCTGATTTTGTAGTTCCCATTACAGCGTGTGCCAGTTTTTCTGGTGTACCAAGGAGCAGGAACATCTCCAGGAGATGCTCAGGTTGCAGCAGCCAGATAAAAGCTGCCTGTGCCACCTTTATAAAGACACAGCCAGCTCAGTCCTGCAGGGGACAAATGCACTGGGGAATTTGTGGTTACCAGACTTTCATCCCTTCTTTTTATGTGTTTTGCCAAATCCTGTGCTGGCTGGAGGGTGACTGTGGAGACAGCACTGAAAGCTGAGCAGTGGTTTGTTGAAAACTCTGCTTGGGCAGGGGGTAAATAATGTGAATTTTTTTTCCAGTGACCACCCTTAGATACCCTCAAGCACTGGTTTGGGCTGGGAGGAAGGACAGGCAATGCAGCAATGTCCAGTGAGCCCCAGCACAGCTGATGGAGCTGGGTTTGTTGTTGATTAAAGACAGACCTTTGTACAGCAGGAACAGAAAATCCTATTTCTGTACCAGTAAAAACTCTGCTCCCACAGTTGCTGTTGTTGGCAAACTCAGTCACTTTTTGGTGTTTTTGGAGAAGTATTTACAGGCAAGGACTGGATGCTGAGAGAGCTTCATCTGCTTGCATTTTGCTCTGGTTGCTGTGGGATTTTGTGCTTCATCCCTGAGCCCTCCCCAGTTATCCCAGCAGGGACAGGCAGTGTCTCCTGCTCAGCCCCTCCTTCCTGAGCAGGGAATCATCCCTTGGGATCCCACTTTGCCCCCAGCCCAGTGGGATGCTGCAGGCTGGCTCAGGGTGGGCTCTGACAGCAGCAGAACACAGAGTCTGCAGAGGGATTGATTCTCTCATAAATGCAATTACACAAACACGCTCCAGCCGTGTGTCCTGTTTAATTGCTCCCCCAGAAAAGAGGAATTCCTCAGGGCACTGCTTTTGTGTGAGTCAGAGATACCCCAGAGCCTCAGGCATCCTCTGCATCCACAGGGGCTCCTCTGTGCCCTGGGTGGCCGCTAATATTGGCCTTGAGATCCCTCTGCAGATGAGTTATCCCTGCAGGAGGCAGGGGTGGTGTGCCAGGCAGGGATTGCAGCTGGCAGAGCCCCTGTGCCATGCAGGGCTCCCTGCCCGGTGCCCTGGGGGCATTTCTGCCCTCTGAGGTGCCTCTGCTCCATGGAAGGATCCCTTTGTAAATTGGGGATCTTCCCAAGGAGTGCCAGGGCTTGGGCTGCCAATCCACTGGGCAGGTGATGGAAGGGGGGACGAAACCCCCCAGAGATGGTTTTGTGTGGTGTGAGGTTGCTCTTGACCCAATAAATGGCTGTTGAGAGGGCCTGGATGTAAAACATGAATGTTTCTCTTTTCCCACAAAATTCTGTCCCTCCTTTTTAAGGGTTTTGGTCTGAAATCATCAGCTGAGGTTTTCAGAAAACCACTAAACATTCCAAGGTTCCTGGTGAGGTGCAAAGTGAAGCAGTAAATGGTCCAGAAAAGCTGATTTTTGACTTGCCCGTTCCCTGAGGTGTCCCACAAGGTAACCTGTACAGACAGCCCAGCCCAGCCCAGCTCACAAGCACCAAATGTTTAATTCAGTGTGTGCCTGTCAGAGCACATTAAAAATGCAGGTGGCACTTGGTGCCTGTCAGCCTGGCGCTGTCACGGGGTGGTGGCACAGATGTGGCACACTGGGAATGTCTGCAGTGTGCTGCCAGGCTGGATCCTGATCCCTGATCCCCCAAAACTCTGCCTTTCCACGGTGCTGCTGAGGATGTGCCTGCATTGTCTGGGCTGCTTTGGCTGCTCTGTGCTTCTCCTGGCCATCTCCATCTCCTGTGGGATTAATCCCAGTTCCTGAGGCTCTCCCAGTGGGAATTGAGGTTTGCCCACACCTCAGGGCTGAGCCTTTTGTGGGATGCTGGAGCTGTGTTGTGTGCCCAGCTCCTGGCACAGACACATCCCAGTCCCTCAGCTTGGGTCAGAGCTCACTGTGCAATTCCCAAGGAGAATTTGTGTGCAAGTTCAGTTTGAAAAGAGATCCAAAATTCATGCACAAGTGCAGTTTGAAAAGAGATTCAAACCTGTGACCATGTTCACAGGGGTCTGAGGATGAGGGAAGAGACGAGGATCTGACTCCATGTTTCAGAAGGATGATTATTTTATGATATATGGTATATTAAAACTATACTAAAAGAATAGAAGAAAGGATTTCATCAGAAGGCTGGCTAAGAATAGAAAAAAAAATAATGAATAACAAAGGTTTGTGTCTCAGACTCTCTGTCCGAGCCAGCTGACTGTGATTGGCCATTAATTAGAAACAACCACATGAGAGCAATCCCAGATGCACCTGTTGCATTCCACAGCAGCAGATAATCAATGTTTACATTTTGTTCCTGAGGCCTCTCAGCTTCTCAGGAGGAAAAAACCTAAGGAAAGGATTTTTCAGAAAATTTCATGGCTGCACAAGCCCATTTCTGCAGCCTCCAGGTGAGGCTGAGGAGTGAAGTTCATAAACACCAAAAGTATGAAATCAGTGGGAGTTCCAGGTGTGTCCTGTGAAAAGGGCAGCTGTTGGAGATGGAGAAATTTGCCTCTTTGCTCTCAAGCAGCCAACTGAGCTTTGTTTTCTTGCCTTGCAGTCCTTCCAGGGCAGCCAAGGACGAGCTTACCTCTTCAACTCCGTGTGAGTACCCAACAAAACCATCCTGAAAAAGGGACAAAAACCCCGATTTCCTTCAGAAAACCTCTGCCTGGGGGTGGGGAGCTTCCTGCACATGGCTGGAGAAAGAGGCAGAAATAGCCCCTGATTCATATTTGAGTGGTGCAGGGGTTTCAGATAAGCAGCAAGGAAAAGGTGAATTTTTTCGTCATTGGGTTGAGAAATCAGAGCTGATGGCTGAGTCATCTCCTGTCCCAGGATGGAGTGGGACCATAACCAGAGTTTGGAAATGTGGAGATAGATGATATCTAAATATGCACTTCATAAAAACTGAGTGTAGTTTTCCCAGTGACTGGAAATGGTTTTGGGGAGGTCACTGCTGGTCTGGTTTCAGCAGAGCTGCTGATTTCACTCACATTTTTCAACTTTCCATTTGGGAAAGTAAAAGTACCATTTTATCAATTTGAGAATGAAAACCTTTCTCAAATGCTTAATTAGCAAAGTGACTAGAATGTTATTAATCTCCTTCTCAAAGCTTTCATTGAGTTTTTCAGTTGAATAAAAATCCCATTTTACCTTTTCATTCTGCTCTGGAGCTGCCATAGAGCTTTGTCTGGGCACAGCTGGGAGATTCAGAACCTCCTGCTCGTGTTTTCAAACACTGCAGCGAAATCTTTGTCAGCTTTATTGGAGCATTTTGAGGTGGAGGGGCACTAATGGAGCGTCTGTGCTTTGTCCCAGAGTGAACGTGGGCTGTGGCCCTGCGGAGGAGCGGGTGTTGTTAACAGGACTGCACGCCGTGGCAGATATTTACTGTGAAAACTGCAAAACCACGCTGGGCTGGAAATATGTGAGTATTTGTGTCGCTGCCTGTGCCCCTGGGCAGCTTGGCTGCAGCTGAGGGGGTGGGGAGGTCATTTTGGGAGCCCAAAATGCAGGTTTGCATCCGTAGCCATCTGGATTCCTCCTGCCTCTGTGTGTGTTGCATTTAGAAAATCAGCTTTAATAGTTCTGTTTTCACTAATTTTATTTTATTTACACCTGGTGCCCCTCAGTGACATTTAACATAAATGAGGATAATTTCAGCCCTGTGGTTTACACTGTCTTTTTTCTATTATTCTGGTAGATGTTATCAGAATAACAGAATGCTCCATTAATCCTGTGTCCTCCCCACTGGAAATGCTGTTGAACACGAGTTTATCTGTTTGCTCTTCAAAAATTCAATTACCTTCCAATAAAATCCAATGTTACATCCTAATTCCTGCTTCTGGAGGCCCACATCATTTTGTCCAAATGTTTCTCACCAGTGCTTGAGCTGGTGCAGGATTTAAGATTCTAGAAACAGGGTTTAGGATTCTAGAAGTGGGATTTAGGGTTCTACAAACATGATTTAGGATTCTAGAAGCAGGCTTTGGTATTCTAGAAGTGGGATTTAAGGTTCTATAAACAGGATTTAAGATTCCATAGGCAGGATTTAGTATTCTAGATTCCTGATTTAGGGTTCTAGAAACAGGATTTGGGGTTCCAGAAGCAGGATTTAATATTCCAGAAGGAGAATTTGGGATTCCAGAAGCAGAATTTCGTATTCTAGAAGCAAGATTTAATATTCCAGGAGCAGGATTTAGGACTCCAGAAGCAGGATTTAGTATTCTAGACTCAAGATTTAGGATTCGAGATGCAGAATTAGGATTCCAGAAGCAGGATTTAATATTCCAGGATTTCAGATTCTAGAAGCAAGATTTAAGATTCCATAAGCAGGATTTAATATCCCAGAAGGAGAATTTGGGATTCCAGAAGCAGAATTTAATATTCGAGAAACAGGATTTGGGGTTGTAGAAGCAGGATTTGAGATTCCAGAAGCAGCATTTAGGATTCTAGAAGCAGGATTTAATATTCTAGAAACGGGGTTTAATATTCCATGATTTCAGATTCTAGAAGCAAGATTTAGGATTCCAGAAGCAGAATTTCATGTTCCAGAAGCAAGATTTGGGATTCCAGCAGCAGGATTTAGGATTCTAGAAGCAAGATTTAATATTCCAGAAGCAGGATTTAGGATTGTAAACGCAAGATTTAAGATTCCAGAAGCAGGATTTGATATTCCAGAAGCAGGATGAAGTATTCTAGACTCACTGTTTAGGATTCTAGAAAGCAGGATTTGGGATTCCAGAAGCAGGATTTAGTATTCTAGACTCAAGATTTAGGATTCTAAAAGCAAGATTTAAGATTCCAGAAGCAGGATTTGAGATTCTGGAAGCAGGATTTGGTATTCCAGAAGCAGGGTTTAATATTCTAGGATTTCAGATTCTAGAAGCAAGATTTAATATTCCAGAAACAGAATTTGACATTCCAGAAGCAGGATTAAGTATTCTAGACTCACTATTTGGGATTCTAGACGCAGGATTTAGGATTCCATAAGCAGGATTTAGGATTCATAAGCAGGATTTCAGACTCTAGAAGCAAGATTGAATATTCCAGAAGCAGAATTTGGGATTCCAGAAGCAGGATTTAAGATCTTTTCCCTCACAATTTTCCTGAGAGCCCACAGGAAGACCTGCAGTTGACTTTGTGGGCAGGGCTCAGACTTGCACCAGCACTCCCAAATCTGATCCATGACCTGATTCCCACCAAGCACCGCCTCAGTCTCCCTCTGCTCCCGCTTCCATTGCAGGAACACGCTTTTGAAAGCAGCCAGAAGTATAAAGAAGGCAAATACATCATTGAACTAGCTCACATGATCAAGGACAACGGCTGGGACTGAGCAGAGCCAGCCCTGCAGTGCCAGAGATGCCATCCAGCCCAACATTGTACCCAAGAGTGAGAGAGTGACTGAACGCTTGGTTCCATGCATTTAGAGGCTCTGCAACCCGGGAGCATCTTCACACCCTTCTCCATCTTTATTGGTGACTGGCCTCTAAATTTCTGTCTCTCTGTCTCTTTGCTTTGTATCTGTCTGTGAGTTGACCCTGGCTGCTTCTCTCTCTGTTGTGTTGGCTCGGAGAATGCACCGAATGCCCGACAGCCATTCCACGTGCCCAGAGCTCCACCCGGCCTGGCCTGGGCTCCCCTGGCACCTCCCCGAGGTGCCAACCCCGAGGTTGGGCAGGAGAAGGTGGGACAGGGGTGGGGAACCATCAGAGGGTGATGCTGTGCTGCTCCTTTCAGTCCTGGGTAAGCGAGGCTTGAAACCATCTCCTTGTGTAAATGGACGGAGAAATACCTGCTTGTGTAAATGGATACAGAAATATCCACTTGTCTGAATGGATAGAGAAATATCCACTTGTCTAAGGAGGACACGGGAATATCTCCTTGTGTGGAAGGACAGAATTACCTCATGGCTGTGTTTTCTCTCTGAATCCATCAGTGGAGCCTCAGCCTGAGCCCGAGGCAGAGCCAGTTCCCCCCACAGTCTGTGTTTTGGTTGCTGTTTATGAACTCCTTGTTGCAGGGGAGGTTCCTGCCTCTCCTTTTCCTCGCTGGTTCAGGGTAGGGAGGCTGAAGGTCCCAGCTGAGCACCCCCAAGGCTGGGGAAACCAAACCCTGACCTGTGAGCGCTTCAGAGAGGAGGAGAAAACCACTCCAGGCACAAGGAGGCTGGAGCTGCAGCCTAGAGAATGTGGAGGGGTGAAAAAAGGCACGTGTGAGGCAAGGAGGGGGAAATTCCATAGAGGAGGATGGGGACAAACAGTGGCAGAGGGTACCCCTGGACTTCCTGGCCTCCCCTGAGCACCCTTGGTGGTGTTTCACCAATCTTTCACAAGTGCAAGGAGGAAAATGCTGTTACAGAACCTTTTCCTTGGATGCCAGGCTCAGAAAATGCACAGAAATGGGGCGAGGAGGGAGCTGAGTGGGGGCAGTTGTGTTGCACAGGTGGATATTTCATCCCTGAGGTATCCTCCCCCCTTTCCCCACTCCCAGCAGCCCAGTGCAGGCACGGGGAGAGTGGCAAAGGAAAAAAGGAAAAAAAGAAATGAAACATCTTCCAGCAGCCCTGGAATGATCCATGCCTCGAGGGGTGGATTGGGTGTCAGAACTGCAGGCACAACGAGTCCTCCCCATTTTTGTTTGCCCCTGGTGATTCCTGAGCACCTTCCCAAGGCGGGGAAGGGTGTCCTGTGTGCCAGGGGAGCTGTGTAAAGTAAAAGTAAAATGAGAAATTTCCTCTGCAGCATCCAGCCAGTATCTGGTGCATCACCCAGGACTATCGCGCTGAGCTCATTCTGTCTCTCCCCCAGTGAATTTTTATTTTTTGTTGGCAGAATTCTTTCAAGTAGGTTAATCCATGGGGGGAAATCTTCCTTAATGCAGAAGGAAGGAGTGAGTGAGAGTTGTGCAGGGGTGGTGGCTCCTCATGGAACAGAAGCTCCAGTTGGAGCTGTGATCTGCAATCACTGCCCCCAGCCCTTGGAGATGCCAGGGGCTGTGCAGGACTCATTTGGTGTTATTTGGCAGGGAACGGGAGCAGAGACTCTCCTGAAGGATCAGGGTGGAATTCAGGGCTGGATCCTTGTGCTGAAAGCCAAACCTGATGGAGCAAAGGTTGTTTATTTTGTCTCTCAAGCCTCTGTTCTTGACAGCCTTGGAGAGCTGAGGTGGAGCTGGCCGGGCCCCTGCAGGGGATGGAGTTGGTGACCAGACTGTCCAGAGGTGGCTCCTGCCCTCACCCTCCTGCTCTGGCTGTGCAGCAATTGCTTCAGCTTCTGGTTTGGATTGTCTCTGCTTCTGCCACCCACATTCCCTCAGTGACAGATCCAGGAAAAATCAGAACTCCCACAGCACCTGCTGGCACTGACCTGGTGCCATTTCCCTGTCCCTTCATTGAGGATCCATGGCAGTTCATGGGGTTTTGAGTAGTGGGAAGCAATTCCTGTTCTTCAAAGGGCTCTTAATTCTGCACAGAGCCTTTAAAGAGCTGGGAGAGGTGAGGGATCATCCCAAATCCTGTGGGGCTGAGAGGAGCACACAGGGCTCGTGGTTTGATGTTGGTATTTGGAGTGAGTGCTGGTCAAAAAGCAAAATAAAAGGCAGGGCTGTGCAGAGAACTGCTCTGAGAAATGCCAGCCAGGTGGAAATGGTTTTACCCATTCATTTGGGACACAAAAGGACGATGCCCCATCAGACCTGGCTGGTTTTTACTGGTCACAGGTGTTGGCTTTTAATGGCAACCAGTCCAAGCTGGAATAGGGCGAGGCGTTAATCTGCTTTTAATTGGTTTTGTGCTGTTGAGTCTGTGCTCAGAGCCTGGCCCTGAGCCCTGGGGCAGCCCAGCGAGGCTGTGCCTGTCCCCAGCCCCCAGAGAGCTCCTGGGCAGTGCCTGTGATGGCTGAGGGGAGAACTGGGGCTCGTGCAGCCCCTGCGAGTGCCCAGGGAGCAGGAGCAGCTTCAGCTGGTGCTGGAATCTGGGATCAGAGAAAACCAAAGAACTTCCCTGCTGAGCTGAGCCAGGTGGGGCCTCTGCCCAGGAGAAGGGGAGATGTGGCCCTGGGGAGCTGCTGCTTTCCCTGGGCAGCAGCCCCAGGAGAGCACGGGCAGCCCTGAGCTCCCCTCCTCTGTTTGGTGCCCAGCCTGTGCCTGGGCAGCCGTGAGCACCCCTGAGTTTACATCCCCCCCCCGTACCCCCAAAGCTCAGACTTGAGTGAGTTTGAAATTGTTTTTGCTCTGGTGTGAAATCCTGACCCCTGTAAGAAATATTCAGATGATAATATATACAAAGCAGAAAAAAAAAAAATAACCCCCAGACGTTACCTTGTGAAATATACTTTTGTAAATAATATTTAATTTTTTTTTTAAAGAAATAATATATTTGGTGCTGTTTTCTCAGAGCCCCTCCCTGAGAGCACTTTTTTTTTGTTGTTGTTGTTGTTTATGATGATCCTGTTTCCTTCTGTATTTGTTGGAAAATATGTTTAAAGGGAAACAAAACCTCCTGATTTACGTTGTCCTCTGAGGTGGATCCATGTTTCCTGTGGATGTGGCAGATTTGGGCTGGGACAGGGGGATGTGTGGGCTGGCATCAGGAGGGCTCCATTCCCCCCTGCCTTTCCTGGAGCCCCTTTGCTCCCAGCAGGAACCCCCAGAGCCCCTGGGGCTCCCCCTTTCCTGGTTTGTGGAATGCAGGCCTGGGATTCCCTTGCACCAGTGCTGGCTGGAGTGAGAAGCTCTGGGGCTGGGCAGGAGCTGCAGCCTCAGGTTTGCAGGGATGGAGGATGGAGCTTTGAACCCAATTTTAACCTAAACCACAAATCTTTGGATCCTGCTTTTATCTTTGAGGGGAGGTTTTATTTTTGTTGTTGTTGTTTTATTTTTTTTTTTAACCAAGCTGCTACATAACAAATTAGAGTAAAAGTTTACCTCTCTTGGCAGTGAAGTTCATTTATTTTGTTCTCCTTTCTGTCTTTAATCTCCCCCCTTCTCTCCCTCCTTTGTTTTTATTTCACTTGGTCTCTTGTTTATCCAAAGTGGACCAACAGCACAAAGCACTGGACTGTGTTGAGCAAGGAGCTGTTCAAGAACTGCTGCAGGTTCTTTAAAAATTCTCTGGGTTTGGAGAACTTCAAACCCCAAGGAACAAAAGCAACCCTGCCAAACCAACCCCGTTGTTCTCGTGATGATCAAGTGAGAATTCTCTCTCTGTGTGTGTGCATTTTTCTGGCTGCTCTGAGAGTGTGTGAATCATGCATTTCACTGCACTCCCCTGCTTTGGGAGGAGCTTCCAGGGGAAGCAGTTTTGGGATGAAGAGGGGACACCAAACACCAAGCTCAGCTCAGTGGGAAGGAGCTCTCAGTGCTCAGAAACAATCAGGTTAGACAGAGGTTTTCTGCAGAAATCCTGGTGAGAAAGAACAAGCAGAAGAGGGGAAACGAAATCATCTTGAATTCAGAAAAAAAACATATAAAATCAAAAATCAACATATTTAAATGCAAGCAGAATGGCATTGTGTAAGGTACAACCACCAATAAGCTGTTCTCATCGTTACAACTGTGTGTATCCTTTGTTTTGTTCTTCCTAAGGAAATGGGAATGCTTTCCCCACTGACAAAACTAAGGACAATATTTCCAATACCAGCCTGTCTATGGATGCTCTTGTGTTTACAAATTGTGTATATTTTTATTTCTTTGATCTTATTTTAATTTTTTTTTTTTGGCGTATTCTTTCAGGTCATTTGCTTCAGTCATAAATGCGATTGTTTGTTTTCAAATAATTGGTTTTCACCTTTTCATGTATTTGTACATTGTATATAGTTCTTCAGTATTAGAGGGAGGCGTATTGTTTGTCATATTTACAATATGTGTTGGTGCTCATTTGAGAAAATAAAATTTTCAAGTACTAAGGCTGCTGCTCCAGGTTTCTGCTTTATTCTGTGCAAATCCCTGAAATCCAGAGGATTTCATCCCAAAGGGGATTTTCATCCCAATCCAGGGGATGGGAAACAGCAGCTGCTGCTGCTCCACCTCAGACACCTCCACAGCCAGGGGGAAGGCAGTGCTGTATTTGGGATTTTGGGATGGGTGGGTGCAATCCCTGTTCATCCACTGCTGGAGGTGGCAGGGCCCTGTCCCTGTGCCCTCTGTGCCCTCTGTCCCCGTGCCCTGTCCCTGTGCCCTCTGTCCCCGTGCTGCTGAGTGCCCTTAATTCCCCACGGGACCAAAAAAGCCACTTAACCCCGTTTGGGGACAGCCCAGGGGCTGAACTCAGAGCCCTGAGCTGGGAGTGAGCTGAAAGCTGCACCTGAGAGGGGCTGGGGATTCCTGGGACTGGGAAACGCCAAGGAAGATGGGATGGGAGCGACCCCATGGACAGTCCCTGCAGTGGGGTCAGAGCTCTTGGTTTCACCAAAACCTGAACTTGCTCCTCTTGGTCCCACACCAGCCTGGGACACTCTGGCTGTGTCCCTAAGGGACACTGTCCTCACCTTGGGGACAATGGCATCCCAAAAAATGCCCTGCAGGGTCTGTGTGGGGCAGCTCCTGGCGCTGGGCTTGTTCCTACAGCCCCACTGGAAAAGCCCGAAGGTTTTAACCCTGTGTGGAATGCCCTGGGGCAGTGGGAATGCCCTGGGGTGGGGAGGGGACCCACAGATGTGGGGACATTTCTTGTTCCCCATCCCAGCCCTGCAGGGAAAATCCCGCCAGGAAAAAGCGTCCTGCTCAGCAATTCCCACCCGAGTGACAGCAAGGGGGACAACTCCAGGCTGTCCCTGAGCTCTGGCCTTGGGAACAGCCTCCAGATCCCATCAGGCCGTGGGATGGAGGTGGAAAATGCCAGAACCGATTGGGGCGGGGCTGGGGGGCAGCGGGACCCGGCCGCTCCCGCATCCCGGGGCGGGGAGGGACCGGGACCAGCGCGGCTGGGGATGCGGG